ACTGATCTCATGTAAATTACTCAGAGAGTTCATGGAAATATGAGAGGGGGGCAACAACACTGTAGCACCTTCAGCATTCAAAAAGCTTGATATGTGGGCTTAACAAATAGATATTTAATATTTTCATTGACGAAACTTCTTTGAATTTTCAAAGTGCCGTTCTTAATGAATCGAGAATAACACACGCAATCTGATCTTTTCATGTGTAACTGATGCTAAACAATAAAGGCCTCCCCAATTTTCAAACACGTCCTCCAAAAGAAACCGGCTCACCAGCACCACCATTTTCTGGGGGCGCCTCAATGCGTTCGATCAGCCATTTCCTCGTCTCCTCGGTGGTCTTCTCCGATATCTCCATGATGACCAGGGGCCTGAGATGGCCGCCTTCGTGCGTCAAGATGTCGCCATGGAGATCCTGGATGTAGTGGTGATGGTGGTGGCCGTCGTGGTCATCGTGGTGAGGGTCACCATCGTGGTGGTCAGTTTGGTGGCTGTGCCCGTTGACCTGGGTCACTGCCCCTTGGCGTTGGATAGCAGGCATGGTGCTAGACTACTGTGCAGACACTGAAAGTGTCAAAAAGGGAAACTAAAATTTAGTACGAAAAATATCAGTTCGGTAAGTGACCGCAGATAGAACATTATATCCCAAGAAACCAAGTCCTCAGTTGTGTACAGAGTTCTTTTGAGAAATGACAATTGATACTTTCCAACAACAGTGAAAATGTTTCTCAGTCACACACTGACTCGTGTATTTGTAATCTTTTTTTTTCAATCTTCTGAACTGTGCGTATGAATGGATGAAGGATGGATGAAGGATGCCGTATTCTCTCTGAGGCCACTAACTACAACTTGAAATGCATATGTACAGGGGTAACCGGTCAATAAGCACGTCAAGCAATGATCTTGACTCTTGCGTAAATTTACTGAATCCCCTCCTGAGCTGATTTAATACTCCATCAACGGATTTTATTCCAAGGCAAATCAACTCAGGATGGAGTAGGCCTATACAATAAATTGGTACAAGTTTCAAGATTGCGCTGAACATGCACAATCACTTGACGTGCTTTGACCTTTGCAAAATTAGTCAATATCACTGCACCATTCTGCCAATGGCCAATCAACTTTTTTTTCTCATTCACGGATGTGGAAGACGGTTGTCGTAGGCCCTGAGTTACTGTTCTCGCGGTCAGACATCCAGGAACTTCTGTACGTTATTGAACAGTGCGAAGGGTAAATTTGCGCCTTTACTGCGAGTTAAAAGTCCGTACAGACATCATGCCGACTGCGAGAAAGTAATCGTACAATCATAATCATGCAGATCAGCTGGCCAATCGCTCTAAAAGCTAGCGCAGCACGATGAAGCCTACGATCACACTGCTTCTCACTACAGTTAGGCTACTTAATTAACTAGCCACGGCAGTTGGCAGTCACGTAAAGAAAGCCTAGTCGGAAAAGGAGGACACGTAGACTGACGCTCGTCATCTATGCATATTATGCTCAGGACGCACAAAATACGTACTCTACACTTTCTAATTTAATATGCATATGACGCACGTCGTTCAACAGGTCCTCCTTTTCCCTCTACTGTCGTGTAACCAGCAACCACCAACATGACTGACAGACGAACATGACAAAAATTGAAAGACTGGAGCAATTCTTCTTTAATCTTTTATGAAAATAAAATCGTGCCACTCAGGGAATGAATACATGCCGAATCTTTCAGATTTAAAGACTTTGGAAAGAGTTCCATATACGGACGCCACTTGACACCCTGTGCACAAACCCTATACAACTGGTCTGAAAAAGTCTGGTATCTCTGAGTGTTTTCTCAGTACTTTATGGTGAAACTTCCCTCCTAAATTGAACTTTTCTGGACATGTTTTTGCTATCTGATGGCTACTAAGTCACTGTAGGGAAGAATTACTGACTGGCGTCCGTATATGGAACTCTTCCCAAGATTTTAAACAAAGACAATTAAATTCTCTCGGCAAATTACCAAAATAGTAACAAATGAGTTCCTCCATCTGTCAATGTCTGTGATACACGACACACCTTTTTGGATGTGATTATACCGTCGGGCTCCCTGCTAAACAGCCAGCAAGTGATCATTACAATTAATATCTAGAAGTACAGTAACTAAGCTAAAAATCTGCCACCCAGACTTCACTTCATTCTGATGTTAGTAATTGGCGAAAGAGTACCAACTATTGGTAAAACCGCGAAAAAGTTCCGAAGTTTGACATTCAGCGCTGACGCGAGTGACGGTCGTCTGCAGCGCGTTATAAGTTCCAAATTTCCGAAAATTATGTGTATAACAATATAGCAGGCTGAGCATAACAGTCAAGGTAACTTTCACTTTTTAAAGGGATACTTGCTTTTTTCTGGTTGTCTTTCTGTTCTTGTTTAGCATGTTTAGCGAGTTGAAAACTCACCACAACTTGCACAAGAACTTGAGAAGACCGCTCACCTGTAACGTTAGATGTTCTGAAACTTAGTGAGACCACTGAAAAGGCGGGGCGCGTGTTTTTGGTTTTTTTTAACGTCCAAGCTGTCTGGGGATACACCATGTATTTTCCTGAGAAAGATGGTTCTTTGAAAGAGACCAGTCTTCGTGCCTCATTGAAGATTCCCTCTTCTGGAAAACTCCAGAGCCAAGATTTTAGCTTTTAAAGTTTCAAGTCATGTAGGCCTAGGCCCAAGTTGGATTTCCCCCAGCCATGCCAGCATCCTCCCATGTAGACATGGTAGGCCTAGAACATGTCCTGTAGAAAATTTGTCAAGTGGGGCACCTCATGGTTTTAACTTTGTGTTAGGTGAAAATTTTAGAGGTGTTTTTAATGAAAAGGCTTGATAGGCCCATCACAGACAATGACAGAAGACCTAGCCCAGTAATTAGGCTAGAATAAGAAAACAACTGAGAGCATTAGGCCTATCAATTTTTTGCCACTCAGATGAAGGGCTATAATAATTATAGGCCTCCACAAAAACCATCATCAGCCACTTGCTGAAACTAGTAGTAGGGCCTACTAGTGGGCCTATTGCCTATTGGCTTCACTTAGGCCTAGTGCCCGTTTAGCTTAAAAAGCTAGGGCTAGGCCTGTATTTTGCTTAGGCCTAGCTAAACACTCTCATTTTTGTTTATATATTCTGAGCTGAAAGCATGCATGTTGACTGTTATACAGAAAGTAGGCCTGTCATTGAAATTTACACAAAAGGGTAGGCCTATTAAAGCATATCATGTCTGTCAAGATACACCATTTTTCATTCTTAACCTGTTACAAAGTCCCCCCCCCTCCCCTTAATAAGCCTAACCCAACTTGACACAATTCACTGTATGTTTTTATGTACTTTTTTCTTGGGGATCGTTTCTTTTTTAGTGTATTTAGGTCTAACTTTGTTATCTAGGTTACAGCACCAGAATCTTCAATTCAGTGATAGCAAACCTGCATGTAATACATGGCATCCAAACCGACTACGTCGAGTATCTTCTTTGCAACTGTGCCTGACTACAAGGACCTGTGCTCCGTCACAATTCAAGTTCAGGACAGTGCTTCGTCGTTTGCAAAAAGGGGCGGGACGGCCAGCAAATATGTGGGCTCCCAGCCTCAGATTGTGAAATGCAGGCAAGTTGGCCTAGTTATAAATGTGAACGTTCAAAACAATTGATGGGCTTTGCACAAGTGACATTAATACAATCGTTTTGTTCTTCAGAAAAGGTAATCTTTTTGGTCAGGTTGTATTCAAGGACAGTCATTTTTATCCCAAGTATTCTGACTTTGTATTTTCATGTTCTTGTTTACCTGTCATGCATTGCCCTCATCTGTCTCCCCATCTGCCAAATATCGAAAACTTCACAATAATTGAATATTATTGTATTATAAATTGAGTCAGAAATGTAGAGCCCATCCTTCACCTTTAGTTTGCTTGACCAAATCGCTTCAGATTTATACAAGTGCGATGACTGCCAATGGCTGTATTGGGTTGCACTACATGTGTTGGACTTCAGCAGATCCAGGAAGGTTCAGTAGAGAGGTTTATTGAAGAGATTTCTGTTTTTTGCCCTTCAGAGAGTTGATATTCACAGAGCCTGGCCTATTAGCGTCCCCCTCCCTTCAGCAGGAAGGACACATCTATGTCGTCCTCCAGCAATCAGTCTGGCGATCGGGCCGGCTGCAGTCACGATGCCAAAAGATGGGACTAGTGGTAAGCTCACAGACACATTCTGGTCTGTCGTAAAGCGAGACGCCATGAAAAATCGATTCTGTGCCTAAAATAATAATTTCATAAAGGGCTTCTCAAGTTTTGGCGAATTTGGGAAAGGGTTTTACAAAGATGCATAATGTCAGCGTGAGATTTTTTTCAAATAATGGGGCAACACATTAGGAGTTGGTTGGATGGAAATAATGGAGCTACGAAAACTGCACAAATACTTTTTAAGTTTACTGAAAGACACAAAAACGTATTGTAAGGCAGAATTTATTAACTCACGGTTTGGAAACAAAATGGACACAGACACTTTGCAAGACTTTTCATATTATTACAGTATTGATTTTCAAGCTAATGAAAGGTTTTCTCTTAGAGTGCCAGAAAGAATTCTTGAAAAAAAGGGGGGGGAATCAGTTGAGATCCATAATTTTTTCAATCTGTCAACATACGAATCTTAATCTGTTTATGAATAATTAAGTCATTTGAATGTCTTTCCTGTGATGTGATTTTCGAGGTGAGCAAACCCATGCAAGTCATCAGTCCCATCTTCCAAGCCTGCCTGGCCTACACCATCAGAGCCAGGTTGGCACCTCTGTGGAACAAGGCAGGGAACTGGTACATACAAGGCAGAGATTTCTTGCTGAGTTCGGGCAGAGTGCCTGCAGTAGGTGAGTGTATCTTTCTGTAGGCATGGTGGGCGAATTTCAAAACAAATTTCTGGAATGTTTCCATTTTCCTTCCACCCCAGAGTATGCAAAAAGCCCCAAATGACACCCAAGAAAGCCCACAGAAAAAGCCTGAACTGTTTGTCCCATCCCCCAAAAAATTTGCACCCCCTCCAAAAAAAGTTGGTTCTGCACCTACTATCGTCTACAAGAATCAAAGTGTATATCTGTTCCCTACTTTTTTTTACCAGAGTTCTTGACTGTCCCTTATTTGTAAACAAATCAGCTGAGTATGTCTGTGTTATTAACATAATTAATTGTGGTGCTTAATACCCATGATTTAGTGCGACTAGACTGGCTTCTTATTTTTCTTTTTTATTTGCGGTAGCTTATAAATTTGAGAACAGTCAACTTCCAAATGTTTCCCTTCCTTAGACAGCAACAATTCAAAGTGTGCCAATAAAGGAAAAACGATAAAACAGGGAAATGTCTCTCTGCCTTTTATTTTTAAAATGACCCAGGAGAAAAGAACAGATGTTGGCACAGTAAAATGCTAGTGAAGAAAAATTGTGAAAGTCTGTGAGGCTCATTTGTCCGGCAAAAAATAACGAACAAGGTATCACCTGAAAAGTGGGCAAGTCCAAAGGCACACTAGATTAGTCTGAATTCGATGCTTCTTTCAAAGATGGATTTGAAATAGTCGTTTGTGGTACCCGCGGCTACATCTGATTCGAACAAGCCAGCTGACACCGGCAAGCTCGCTGGTCGAGTGGTTAAGAAGTCTGCACTGGCGAGCAGGAGGTTGTGGGTTCGAGTCCCACCCGAGTACGCTTGTGATTTTTTTCACAAGCCTTCGGGGGCATACACTGAGTGTACAGTGTTAAAATACACGTCGGGCAGGACAAAAAAAGTCCAAAATTAATTGACGCTTTTTACTTACTGCATCGTTAGATCTGCAAGTGAACGTGACTGAGGTTGAAATCTGCCTGGCTCTGCGCCCCCTCACGGTGAAGCTGCCTCAGTGCTCTGTAAGTGGTCGGCAGGCTGGGTCTGAAGCCACAGTCTCGAGCTCGAAGTAAAACCGCATTTGTAAACCTATGAGAAATGTTGGCAGCCACTAGCTGGTGACCTCACTAGCCCTTGTCGTATTTTCACAGCAACCACAGCTATGACTTTCAGACAGAGCTCCGACAGGGACTATTCCTCTGGCAAAAAAAGGACTATCCTTCAAAATAACTCATTTTGTCACCTTTGTTCTTATGTTCCAACCTTACATCAGTAAGGTTTTTTTTGTTCTGAAAATCTCTTAAGCTTTGATAAGGAGACTCTTCTATTAATAGAACAAAGAGACTGAACAGAATTGGAAGCTACAATCTCAGGATATAGTTTCAGCACAGTTAGAGTTCAACTTTTATTTTTTGAAATGCCTACATTCTAATTCCAGGGTATTACTACCCTTTGCTGAATATTAATTGCTCATTATCCCTTCACAGTTTTTATTTTTATCAATAATAGCTAATCGATTTTGATGTGTGCCAACCCGTTTTGGATCAGTTCTTCCTATCTACAAACAACGTGATCTTTGAGTACTCCATTGACAGCAAGTGGTGCTTTGTTTTACCCAGGTAGAAAATGACCCCATTAGGAATCATGGGATCACTGCAAATGCACTGGCAATTGTTAATTAAGGTTAAAATAAATTAAAATCTTCAACTAGTTGGTCGAGCATTTTGTAGACTTTGGGCCATTTCTGGGATACACCAAATCCCGCGCTGAATAGTGTATCATTGGGCAATAAAATGCTCTACAACCGGGCAATATAACCAGGGCCAATATAAAGTAAAAGTGGTTGCCCGTATGCAGTTTTAAATCTATCAAAATCCTACACGATAAATGATGAATTTTGGAGGACTTGGGAAAATTTGGAATCACCACCTATCTATCCAGTGAAGTCGTACTCCAGTGAAGTCGGACCTTTTATCAAGTTGGCTCTTTTTTTTTCCTTCTCAGTCTCAAAAAAGGCAAAGTGGTCAGCATCAGTCACAACATTCCGTCAACCAGTCCCTTCAAGACCTACAAGGAAATTAGGAGATACTGGAAGAACGCGGTATGTACAGGACAGACACGCTTGTCATCTGACACGTCCACCGTCATTTGTTATCCCTCAATGTGAGCTGCATGAGCTAACATTCCGATCACGGTGTTTGGTTGGTTCATTTTATCCACAGTATGGCTATCGACTACCCGAGTCTGATGTCGGAGTTCTTTACTACAACATTTATTTCCCTGCCATTGGACCTACACTCTTCACGTATCCCTTATGTTCCAAATTGAGCTACTTGAAGCATTTTGTTGGTCAGAAATCAGCTATTTTTTGCAGTCTAATGCCTGTTGTCCAAAAGAAAAAATAACTTCAGAACACAAATGTATCAATTGGGTGTTGCCATGATAATATATCACAGAATTATATCTGTTTGGAATTGTACATTAATTGTAGTAAAACAATCAAGTTCGGATCTGATCCTCGCCAAAATCTACAACATTGGCGTCACATTCTTTTACTATATCATAAATCAGAACTGCAAATATTGACACTTTGAAAGATCTCAAAAGTCTTTTGAAAAGTCTCTGTAACTTGAAAGCAAACCAGCTATCCCGAGTTCTGCATTCGCAAGGACGAGCCCATTCTCCAGGCCCGCGTAGACCCGGCCCCCATCATCAGTGCCTTCCTGACTGACCTGCGACACAAGCTGCCGTCCGTGTGTGGAAGCTCCTTCCAGATCACCCCAAAGGCCCTGTACACCAGCACGGGATTCTACCCTACGGGCAAGGAGGTAGAAAGAGAAAAGAATCACATCCAAGACAGAGCTAGGAACCGAGAATCTTGAAGACAATCATCGGATGTGATTTGGCAGAAAGTTCTCAGAGCTGAAACCAGAGCTCTGAAGGACGTATCATAGCCAAAAGAGTAGCTTCTCCAGTTTTTCAGATCATAAGAATTTCGAAAGGTTCTTCTAATAGAGAAATTAATTTGGAGTATAGAGTTTATGTGTCCTCACTGAATCACTCTCTCAGATTTATTTCAAGTGGCCAATTGTATAACATCGCGCCTTGCCACTCAAGGAGGGGTTTTTATTCGTCCTCTTTGATTACACATTCCTACCTCTAAATTCAAGAATTTCTGCACTGACGAGGAACTTATTTCAGTCGCTTTGATGCCCCTGCTAAAAACCTGCTTGTATCCCTGCTTCCAGGCAGTTTGACAGAAAAGACATCATCCAAAAAGAAACTCCTCCTTGGAGGCAAACTTCAGAAAACCATTTTCAATATTAACTTCACTCCATTTGTCTGTAGTAATACAGGTAGCGAGTGAATTTTTGAGAATTTGTTAAGAAGGTTTTTATTTTTGAGCAATCCTGTGGTTTTTTGTCAGGAAGACAAGTTGCCTCACCTAAACCTGTCAAGCACTCCCCCACCGACATCCATCTGTCGCATCCCAACCCGACCCATCTCTCTCCAAGGTTTTGCCGGTGATCACGTCCTCAGCGTTCCCAGCCTGACCCAACCAGCTTCCGTCTTCGGGTCACCCACCGCCAACCTACTGACTGGGACCGTTGGGGAGATCAACGCGGCGTTCTCCATCGCTGGCCGCGTGTCCTTCCCTGGGGCCCACCCTGTCTCCCCAACCGACCAGCACGTCGACAGCCAGTTTGCCACACATGGTCATCGCACACTCAACGGACCGGCGAACACTACGTTGGGTGCCCAGATTGCCGTTTCTCCACCGGTAAGACATACGGCTTTCAGGCCTGTGCTACCAAAGCCGATTGTGGGTGATCAGGCTGGTTTTGGTTTGGTAAATACTTGGAACGGCAAAGCTTACGCTAACTCTGCCTTCAGCGAGATGACCAGCTGTGGTTTTCAATCAACCAGTCAGTGCCTTCCTGTAGTGACAGCTTTGAGTGCCAACCAGTCCGGTAACCACACTGTGGCTCCGGCTCCTCAACGCATCATCCCTAGCTTCAAGACCCAACGTCCCCAGACATCAAACTACTTCCCGGCTTCTACAGCCTGTGTCAGAGGGGAAGATCCATCTCCAAGGATTGTCCCATCATTCCAGTCCACCAAGAAGGTTCACCTACACCCTAAAAGCCAGCTTGGCACATCAGCTCTCGACACAACGAACAAAGCATTCCCACAACCACGTGCGCTGGACGCAGTGGGCCTTTCAAGTCCAATGCAGGCTGCTTTTGATCAACCAAAAGCAGCCGATCCTGTGTTCGTGCCATCCTTTCCCCACAGAGACTCCTCTCAAGCCACAAGAGAGCCCACTGCTGCTAAAAAGCAGGTTCAACAGACACTGGATGCTGTGGTCATAAAGATTCCCAGCGGGGCCAACCATCAGAAGTACGACAGCGGCAAGTCTACAAAAAGAAAATCCAAGGTAACTGTTGTCACTCAGGTGATATTTTTTCACTGCATACTTGAATCATTCTCAAAAAAAGGGTCTCTTTCTTCCAACCATCTGAAAATGAGGATTTTACATAATTCTGTGCTCAATCTTTGTCTCGTTTGCTGTTGTCAGTTAAGTTATCCATTGTCGTTGATCAACAGTTTGTCGGCCTCCTTCCATTTAGCATCTGTCCTTGCTATCACACTCAAAAAAAGAAAACCCCCCTCTGGAATATGACAAGCCTAGTCACATTTAACATCTGTCCACGTTTACACTTAGGATGACACTACTGAAGGGCCAACCGCTACCAAAAAGGCCCGCGTGAAGCCTAAAGTCCAGGAAGGTGTCAACGTTCAGTTACTTGCCATCAACGATCAGGCAAGTCCTAATGATAGAAAAAATGCTCTTTGAGAAATCTGTGGTACTTAAAAGTGATCATGCCCAAAGTTACCATACCGAGTTGCAAACTGGACTTGCTGGGAAGGTGCTAGGAATTTCTTACGGCTATTCAACTGACTGACACAGCTTTAGTGTCCCGTCTCTTATCATGGAATTACTGCAAAAAAGTTTGGTCTCCTTTAAGACCAAATATATTCTCAGTAGATGCATCATTGTAGACTGAGTACATGTTTATCTCATCTAGCCACACAGCACCGCTGCACGCTAATCTGCCCCTATTGAAAAGAGGTCAGCAGTGCACTGAGCCAGGTTCGTGAACAAAAGACAGTTATATAACACCGCACAATCTGGGCTCTNAAATGATGAATTTTTGAAGGATTTTGAAAATGGAAAAAATGATAGTCATGCCGGCCCAGCATCATCAACATTGAAAAATGCCCCGGCAAGAAGTGGTTAATGACATACGGGCATGAATGTGCTCAACAGTAACACAAAGTTCCTTTTCAACTGAAATTTTCTCAAACAGAGTGTAATTAAACATCCCTTAAAAACTTACTGGGGTTAAAGCTGTGTCTTCGTGACACCATATGAAATATATCAAATTCCACACCTTTTATTACCCAAAACCCAACAAAGCTTTCTGCATACAGAAAGTCGGCAGGAAGCTTTACTTTATAGCACTTTGAAAATACAGATGATCCGTGCACAGTGAGTGGGGAAGGTGCGAATTGTCAAACATACAAATTATTTATTTTGGCCTAGTTTCTGTCTGCAGAAAGCTTGGTTACTTATAAATGGGCATTAAAGAGGGGGTTACGTGGCTCAGTGGTTAGGGTTTGTTGCTTCTGATCATAGGGTCGAGGGTTCGAATCCAGCTGGTGGCAACATATTGTGATCTTGGGCAAAACACTTTACCCCTGTGTGCCTCTGTCCACCCAGGAGTAAATGGGTACCTGTGACCCCTGTGTGCCTCTGTCCACCCAGGAGTAAATGGGTACCTGTGACCCCTGTGTGCCTCTGTCCACCCAGGAGTAAATGGGTACCTGTGATCCCTGTGTGCCTCTGTCCACCCAGGAGTAAATGGGTACCTGTGACCCCTGTGTGCCTCTGTCCACCCAGGAGTAAATGGGTACCTGTGAGAGGGTGGATATGGTTATGTTAAACCGTTTGCACCTGATATGGCAGCATTGGGCTAGTTTATACTCCTCAAGGCGCTGAGATGGTCTTGGGAATGTTTCTAATGTGAGCTCAAGGTTCAGGGTTAATGATAATATATATATATATGTAAGAGCCACAAGCACCTAGTATCCAGTGGTTTTTGTGCCCTGTTTTCATGTATATTCATCAGTTTAGGGGTTGTTTGGTCACACTTCTTATTTGGGCTCTCCATAAAAGTCTCCAGCTGGATTGGTAAGTTTCTCGTTCTATCTGCAGCTGTCCAAAGTGAATACAATCACCCTGGCGACGTGGCTGCAAGACAAGGGCATCCCGGTCAAAGCCAAGGAGAAGAAATCCGACCTCATGCAGAAAGTGGCCGACTTCATCCACGCCAACTCGATCGAAGACTGAAGCAAGTGCTGTACGAGATCAAGCACGAGTTACATTGAGTAAGCAAATAAATCCAGTAACAGTGGGAAAAAAACAAAACACAACACTTAAGAAATGAGTGCCAAAAAACCCTACTGGACAAATTAATCCGTAGTTCAGCTGAGGAAACAAAATTGATAGAATTTTCAGGGTTTTTAAAAAAAGAATTCACAGTTGGAACCTGGCTGTACAGCGAGTGCGAGACAACTGTTACAAAGATTTCAACCCAGATTGCGCTGGCATGCCGTACAGTTTTGACTCGTGTCGATTCTTTATTTGACATTTTCCAAACTGAATTCATACAGCAGATCAAATCCATGATTAGCGAGGCCACCTCGGAATGAAATTTCTATCTAGACTATATAATAGCATCCCACCGACTGTGCCACATTTTATGAAAAGCACTGGCAATCCTTCGCGCACCTGTTGCCCTTTTTAATTGGAAATCTGCATAAATGCATATTCATGATTAGGAACTGTTGAAGCTGCAACAACACTGATACAAGTGAACGCACTGCAGGAATACATTTATGGTCTACGTCAAATCCCTCTGTACTTTTAAAGGCAAATGATTCTTATTCTTTTAATGCTAACAGTAAGCTTTTTAATGCTTCAAAAGCACAATAGGGAAACCGAGTTGGACATTACCGGGACAAAGAGATATACCAGCAAAAGATTTGCGCATTTCCATTACTTCTCCAAAAAGACTGTGGAAATCTAAAGAAATGCCTAATTTGAACCAAACAGTCATCTTTTGATCCGATAAAAGGAAAAATCAATTGTTGAAGTTGACAATATGGTTTGTTTTTACGACTTTGATACCAGAAAATGAAAAAATACCAGGAAAGCTATAAATTGCATCTTATACCGCACTCTCTATCTGTACAAAAGGTTGCTGCATTTAATGCTTTATAATTCCGATTTAAATTCTAAACCCAAAGAAATCAATCGAATCAGAACTTCTCGTCATATTTGTCAAGCTTAATTACCGTAAAATTGCAAAAATGTAAGACAAATAGGCACAGCAGGGCAATGATTTTCAAAGCGCAAAGCCACTTTTTAAATCCACATTGCTGAATTCCTGTTAGTAACTTTACACGTTGCTTATATACTATTGTTCATTTTAACATATACATCTGTCATTTTGATGGATAATTCAAGTGATGATGGAGTACGTATACTGTGATACATCTGCAAAAAATTTTTCGTGACAATTAACAAAATTATAAAATAGTAACTTTTGAGGTGTTTTTGTTTCAATGTTATGCAAAGCAAAATAAAGCTGCCGCTGTTCATCTTCACGGGGCGACATGAGTCTTACACTTTCATATGGCTCTTGTCTAATACAAATAGAATTAAAAATAACTTGGAAAACAAAGGATCAATCTGTATAGTTTTCATTTGGTAGATAGAATATCAATATTTGACCATAGCATTTACAATTCAATGTATAATCTTTCCTGAACATTTTCAGTGTTGGTGCCACATTAGACAATGTTCTGGAGGTAGACTTCGTCTACACGGTGCATTCAATGTACCTGTGCATGAATAGATTATATTGTCTATCAAACTAGTACGTTCCCTTGCACTGTTGTGGCACTATAACCTTCTTTTTTTTTCTTTACTGGACCACTCCTACTTGAACTAAATAATTGCACGTTAAAGATCTTGGTCATGTCCCCGAGGGCATACACCACTTTCACAAATGGGTGGTGGCACAACAGGCACCAGACTCAGATGGTGTCATTCATTTTCAGGCTGTATCCAAGAACAGGCACTCGAGTCTAAAGATAGTGTTGTCGAAAAATAACAGCCTCGTTGGCAAACACCAAAGCCGGATGAATCCTTAACACCGATGCAGTACAAACATTTATAAGCTCTTTCCTTGACATTCAAAGCATCGGAGAACTCCCTGTTCACGACTCTTTGGTTTCTTGGCAATCACAGCAGTGCAAGAAGGCACAGCTAACCATCCCCCTTGGAAAGTTAAAGTATGCTACCTCCCAAGTACCACAACATTTCTTTTTTTTTTTTGCAAAATGACTGTTTTCCCCACTCAGAGCAACAGTAAAACTTCCATTCCCGTTTTGCAGCTGTCTTGCGTTTCTGTTTTGAGGGAATTTCTTGTCGAGTGACAGCACCCCACCTGCAGGTTGGCAAAAGGGCAGAATTGAGCCAACCGTTTTGCGCGGTAGGTTGTGAGGGAAAAAAATGTCTCAAATGCCCTAAGAAACTGGTTTGAAAGAGGTGAAACTTTCAGTAAAAAAAAAAATGACAGTCTATGTCAAATGTGCTCCAGCGTGATCCCTGGGGAATATTCCGATTGGTAAACTCATTTGGGAATGTTGACGTATATCGTAATATAGCTAGGGCGTAAACATTTTCAAGAAACGAATATCTCCCACTTCCCCATTATGTAAACCTGCATATTTTACAGAGCGCATGAATATTCATTCACATGAACACACATTTTTACTGTTTAAAGCGCAAAAAAATGACCAAACACACTTGTATGTATATATACGCAGAGCAATGATGATGCAGAGGTTGTCAAGGCAACCAGACATCCCCGAAGAAAAGACTTACAGATGGTTTACAGCTGTTTTATACCATTTGAAAGAGGAAATATTTAATAACTACAAGAACAGCCACCTGTTTTGTTTTGGTTTTTTTTTTGGTTCAAATTTTCAGGACATGATCACAACGAGTTGAGTTCCGTCTCGACCATATTTCTACATGTACAACAGTGATATCGTCCCACTAGGCCGGTACCACACATGCTCGACAACCTGACCTCGGCCGGCCAGGTCAGGAGTTCAAAGGTGACGGCAACACAGTGCAGCATGGGACATTTCTCAGTACTGGGGGAGTAGGCTCATGGCCTCCGCCGCTTTTATCCTCACAGTGGGGTCTGGGTCCTTCAGGAGTAGAATCAGGGCTGAACGGCGAGAGGAGACAGAAATAAGGAAACCGATTACTAATGAAACGAAACATGCATACGTCCTCTAGAAGTGGAATGGAAAAAAAGGAAGAATTCCAATCCTTTGCCGGGTCATTAGGAAAGTTCCTTTTACATTCTCTGCTGTTTAACACTCAGAGGCATAGTTAATTGCTGAAGATGAGACCTACTTTGGCATGGGGTTGGTGTTTAACCCCCCCCCTCGTCTGATTTGGGAGACGGAGGGTAAATATGACAGGTACATTTATAGCAACTACTAAAATTAAAAAAAAAAACCAGACCCCTGAAACAGTTGCCAACACATCAAATCCAAATGAAAGCAAAATCGTCATCAAATACCAAGGAGAGAGGCACAGTGCCCTTACCTCCACAGACGTGCTCTTTGGTGATGAGCGTGTGGCTGGCCTCGGGCAAGTTCCCCAGTAAAAAGCCCACGAACATGGCCGCGTTCCCACGGACGTCTGGCCAGGAGCTCTTGAAGAACCCCACATTGGCCATCACGTAGAAGTTGACCTTCTGGAGGAAGTCGGATATCTACCGGGAAACGGAACAGAACGTGACATGACAGCCAGGATCCCATCTCAGGCAGTTGCTGAAAGTGTCCCAAGGCACAAAATTATGCACCTAACTGAAATCAACTGAGTACCAGTCGCAAGAAGTATACAGGGCACTCCATGTTTTAACTGGTAACCTAATCAGCCGTGGAAGCATCATATGAGCTTCGTAAGGTTTTTTGTTCAGTACTTGCATGAAATTTGTCTTTGGAGTCTGAAACAAGGAAATCGAGTAGACCCTCTACGAAATGACGTTCACTTACTTCCACAATTTGAGGCTGAAATGCCCGTTATCGTCCTTAAAAAGCATGCCCAATGTCACTGTTAATTTTTGTTTGGGGGGAAAAATACTTTGGTCATTACTCGAGTTGGTGAAATTTGCATTTCGTCTCATTGAATTTCACTGTTCAAACCAAAATCCTGGACATTTTGTCAAGGTTGGGTCTCGTACGCCACACTTACTATAACTTTGGAGAGGTTAAACATGAACTCTCCATAGTTGAGCGACCCTTCGTCCAACAGGTGCTTCTGAAACATCTTATTGAGGGGATCGGAGCCAATCAGGGGGCCTATCTCCCGCAGTGCAAACTTACAGGCCTGCAAGACAAACGGGGAAAAATATCACCTTGTTAGTGTCTAGAGGTATTGTATTCCTTTCACAGAGACAGCTTGGGCGAGTGAAAAACACAGTCTTAAGCCTGCCGCAAACCCTTCCGATGTGATCTGATGTACAGATGGGCGAGGTGTGTGCTGAAAAACATTGGGGCTGATCTGACAGGACATACGACAACTGGATGAAATTAAGAATGTTGGACTTAAACTTGAGACCTGACGACTTTGCGATGAGGTTGTGAGGTGCTTGTAAGCACTTTGAGATCATTGGTACAATAGGAAGGTGCCACGTATTGGCGTTGCAATTATTACGCTTGTCAGTGTTGTATTCGAGTCCATCGCAAGTCCCGTCACAAGTCCGGCTACAAGTCTCTTCACAAGGCCAGTCACAAATAACCAGGGGAACAATGACAAAAGAATGCTTTTTGTCACAGCTCATTTGGATAACTTGTGAATTGGCTTGAGACTGGAGGACGTGTGATGGAGTTGTGATGGTGTTGCAGGGACTTGTGATGGGCTCGAACACGACGCTGCCACATGTCGAGCAGACAGGGAAAAGTCTCTCTTCCGTACTGGGTACTTTTATTTCCTCAGACGGTGGACTTTTTCCAAGATGGTAGATCCCTTTTCACGGCTCATGCTGATAATTTTAAGTTAAAGAAGCTTTCAGTTGCATTTATACTTGTAGTTAGATCTATGCATCTTATTGGAAAACAAGTAAAAACATAAAAATAATTGGATAATTACAAATGGAAAACAATTTTTGTCAAATGGAGGCAGGCAGGGCGGGCCCAAGAAACTAATTTTCTTTTTTTTTTTTAACTTGGCCTGGATTACCTTCTTGACATCGTCATCCTCATCATTGAGATGGAGAAGGAGACTGACCAAGTTGGTGTGAATCTGCTCCAGGAAGGGTGCCTTGGAGGGCCCGTCCCCAAACCGGCTCAGGTTGCCAAAGAGAGAGAAGGACACAGCCCTGACGGTGGCTCTATCCTGGGGGGAGAAGGTGATTAAGATTTCAACATACAGGGTGTGCCCTTGTACTGATGAATATTCATAACATTGTGTGCTTGGTGTTTTCAAAGAGTTCACGGTCAAACTTGGTTTAACCAAACCGGTTCATAAACTGGTTCAGTCTCCTGGTTAAAGAAAAACCAGCTTACTGAACTCATTTTTTACACCGATGTTCTCTTACACCCGCTCATTGAACTGGCTGAGAAAACTGGTACCTGTCAATTAGCTCAGCCATTTCACTTAACTTGATCAGGCAATTGGATTACCAGACGGGTTTAAGTAACAACCTCTCACGGTGTTAAGTTATTTTCTTTGTTCCCAAAATTGGCCCAGTACATTGCTGAATGGCAGAGGTGTCTTTTCAAATGCAGCCAGATTAGTGTGCAGCGGTACTGTATCGCTTATCGCTGTGGTGCTGGAGCATTTTTGTCCCCGTTGATAATCCACGGGCACTGAATACCGCAAACAGTGGTATACCGCTTCGAAACAATGACAGATCACCTCCCCTAATGCCTGCTGAAAAATGATGGCAATTCCCAGCAGCTCGGTCTTTTGTTCTGAGTATGGTCTTTTGTCACAAGGCTCAGCTCCTTTGTCCAATTTTGGGCACCCAGGCCATGCGTACAAACCCAAGGTACCCGGCACTGGGAACCCCAGCACCAAGTGGTTAATACGTCACTGATTTACTAAATGTGAGGAAGCAGTAGGCAAACAGAGAAGGAACCAGCAAGGAATGCTTTGGTTTGGGCCCAGTTTTTCTTTGAAAACCCAAAGAATTAACTACATATGCCATTTCCTGAAGACTTTCAATGTCAAAACAAGATAAATTTCCAACCCATCATTCTGCATTATATTTTCTCATTTTTATTGACTTTCTGAAAAAAAAAACTGCAAATTGAAAAGAACAAGTCTCTCTAAGAGTCCTTATTTTTGTTACCTTTTCAAAGCACGGTCTAATCCTAAGAGCTATGTTGACCAGAATGGGTCTGATGTTGGACTCGTCGATCTTGATCAGGATGCGCGACAGGCCGGTCATGGATTCCAGCAGAATCTGATCATCCGTGTCCTCCTTGTCGTCCATGCCTGCCATCATGGCCGACAACACCGTCGTGCAGTATTTCTGGGTCTAAACCCCAAAAATAAGAAAAATTCAAAGGATGATAAAACTTGGCGTAAGGTCACCGACTGTCAGGAATGCCTGCTGTCTCTTCATGAAATGGTATAAAACATGATCTTGCCTATGTTTATGGGGAGGGGCCTTTATTGTAAACCTTGGGCACCGGTGTTACTGAGACCCCACCCTGCCCTGGGCACCAACACCAATTTCACGGTGCTGCAGTAAGCACCAAACCTGCACATTTCATTGATGTAACGCTGTATTGTACTGGGTGTCAAGCTTTTCCAAACTTGAACATTAAGAGCGAGATGTCAACGCCATCAAATTTTTAAAAAATGCTAATTTTGAAGGCTCCTGGCACAGCGCCTTCTGCACCTATTGAGCAATCAGCTCAAAGCTTTTCTTGAGTCTTCAGCGGTTGGGATGCGCCTCATTTCTGAACTGGTTCGGTGCACAGAGACAAGGTCCGAAGAGTCCACCGAAACGGACTGCGTGCTTGACTCGACCTCGGTTGCCGTGTGCAGCCTGCAATACAGCTCATATTACCCAGAAGAGACTACGGTGTGAGTTACAAAATACAAAGCTACAGTGAGACGCAAAGTGGAAAATACCTGTTGTGGGCCCAGGCTGGCCACGTTTCCCATTCCGCGGATGCAAAGCATGCGCACCACGTGGCAGGAGTCCACCATTCGGCCCAGCAAATTGTTCATGATGTCCTCCACCAACTGCACGTCCCCGGCGCACTTCTGGTTCACCAACTGCGAGACAAATATTGAAATGGGAAACTGAAAACTTTGAATCTCTCACCCTGCGGGCAAGTCGCCTCTCGACAACTGATGCATATGAATATGTCTGGCAGGGTTTCTGGCCCGAGTACCCTGGATAGTTCGGGTCGAAACGAACATGGGGGAATTAAGTTGAGTAGGCGGGACTAGTTGGTGTGAACGGAGAGAACCTCACCTCTGCTAGGAAGGCAGCCGTGACCACGCGCTGCGGCTCGTACAGACTGGCCAAGGACGGGATCAGACAGGAGACTATCTTGGCAATGTAGCCTGTCATGTGCTTGGCCATGCCCCTGTGGTCGTAGGTCGGGGGGAAAAAAGGAAATAATAATGACCATTGTGTACAGTGCCCATCTGTGACCTCGGCAGAATGAGGTGAGTAAGGGTGTGATTGCAGTTCGCAAAGCCTAACCACAAGGCCGCATGCCCATATGTGGTAACAAGCTGGCATGAAATGGACAGTGTCGTTCTCAAAAACAGGTCAATGCTACACAACTCCTCACTCAAAGACAGGCTTCAAGTTTTCAGTTCGTCGATGGCCCTGGAACCAATCATTTGTAGGCCTTGAACAATCAGACCACGTGAAGAGACCCAAACTCTTGACTTTAAATCGTGCAGTATAAAGTTCTCAGGGTAAACCAGCAATTCACAATGAGCCTTTTGCCAGTTAAATCTGAACAAAATCTGGTACACTTGAGTTTTCTTAAATTCATGTGAACATAACAATTTGAATTCTCCATACTAAAGACGCTGTTGCTATACCTCATGATTCGGGGCAAGCTTTTGCTTAGTACGCCTTGCATCAATACACTGTTTTCAGTGGATAAGAAGGGCACAAAGGAACCAGTCTATTCCAGAGGTGGTGGTCGCTATGCAAGAGATTGCCCGGAATCACGAGGTATAGCAACAGTGTCTTTAGTCTGGGGAATTCAAATTGTTGCATTTATGTGCAATCAGATAACTCAGTGTACCAGGTTTTATTCAAATTTAACTCGCAAAAGGCTTCTTAGCCGTAATTTAAAAAAATCAGGAAAACTAAGGCCGTGTCTGAATTGCTTGCGGCTGGAAACTACACATGACTGTATGGGCAGAGGCCACAGCTTTAACCATAGACTTGTGTGAATTTCAAGTCGCAGCCAAGTAATTCTGACACGGCCTAGACATCAGACAGTGTAAAGAGACAGAGACAAAGGGAAAGACGGAGAAACGACGTCATGGGAAAAACAGCCAAATTGGCTCCAAAACCGGCTGAGATGGAAGCATGTTGATTATGCAATAGCTATGGATAGAACAGACAGGGTGTGAGAGAATGGATTTGGAATCAAGGACCGCCTTACTGGGCCAAGATGGTTACCCCGTCCGGGTACTTGTTGGCGTCCTGCAGCGCGTCCCACACTCCCTCTGTGTCTAGGAGCTGAATCAACTCTGACCCTTGACCTCTCAGTATGAGGGCTTTCAAGGCGTTTACTGCAACCCTGCAGGGATTAAGACGGACATGTACAAGGCTCTAAGGCACAAGGCAGTATTGCATGAAATTGATCTATCAGAACAGTCAGTCAAAGATCCTTTTCTTTTCAGATCATTAACTTTGGATTGAAAACCAACGAAAACAGACAAAAGAGAAGGGCCGTCTACGAAATCAAAGATAGAATGTCTCAAACATGGCAATATCGCAGAAGTGTCAAAGTGACTATGATAAGTTTAAATACACCACGGCTGTCCTCTGAGTTGCAGTCTGTCTGTTTCAATGACAACATTTTCAAATTTTACCATGGAAACCAGTAATTAAACTGCTATGAATCATGACAAATGATTTAAAAAAAAACAAAAAATTGAATGCATCAGAAAGAGAGCTTAATGTCAGAGATTTAAAATGCATAACTAACAGCGCTATGATACAAAAATTTGGGCCACTTCTGAAGAGAAGTCACTCACACGGAGGGCTTGATGGACGCGTAGGCCTTGGTCATGGCTTTCTTGTCCTTGCTGCTGGCGCCGTTCTTCATCGTGGATTCGGGGGGAGCGGGAGGCTTGACGCCCACGCTGGAGCCCACGTAGATCAGCAACGTGGCAAAGATGCGGTGGAACTGGTCCCGGAGCGAGGCTTCCGTCTCCTCTACCTCCAGGATCTCAATCAGAGCATGGACGATCTGCAAACAACAGCGTCTCAAAAGTGTCTGCGACCACTACACAATGCCTGCCCCGTGAGATTAAGTTTCATCCCAGTTCCATATATGCGCATTCCACTCCCTACTCTGCTCCGAGCGAGAACGAGAGGGAGACCGTTTTTACGTGGCAACAAAACTTGACCGCATGCACACGCAGGCTCGTCCCTTTTTGGGGGGGGGATATGCTGAGCAAGCACGACCGATTTCTGTTTGCAAGCTCGGTCTTTACGTATGCACCCAAAATAATTTCAACCAAGCTTTCTCTTCTCTGCTGATGCGGTTGCACCTCAACTTGGGGCAGGTTATGGAACCCATAGATCCCCGTCCCCGAGAGAGGCGATTGTGGTAAACAATCCTGCCCAAGAATGCAATCCCAATGACCCCCCCCCATCAAGGTTTTCTTTACATAAGCGCCAGTCACCAGCCGAAAACCTCGTACAATTGATGTCCATTTGTTGGAGCTGGTTCATGGCTGATTTGAGTCAACCCCTATTATTTTCATCACAAGAATCCACGAAACCATCGTGAGACCGACAAAAGACCTCCAGTCAGAATGAAAATTGCAAGTTGTTCAGATGAATGGTAACAAAAGTCTTCCTGTGTCAACATTCACCCTTTTCTTTATACGAGGCGCATCAAAATCAAAGGAAACCCAAGTTAGCTTCCGCCGTACAGTAAGATGATAGACATTTCAATGTGCTTAGATCAACACAAACAAGGGCTTTTGAATGAGCGTGTACGCTAACCTGTCACAGTGCAAACTTCACCTGCTAGTCAAAAATGCATTGTTATTCGTCCAACCGCAACATTGAGCACGTGGCGTCACTGGAAAGAAGACAGTCAGGCCTTTCTGGAGACATGTAATGCTTCATTGGGGAATCTGCAGTTTTCCTGTAAATTACGGTTGAGTTTGGGTTTCCTTTATTTCGCTACGCCCAGTAATTGGTCTCATGGCTGGTCTTGAGACAGGTCCCGTAGCTGCGGAGTGACGGGCCCAGGTCAGGTGTCTTACCGCCATGGGAGACAGGTGGGCCGTCTTGGAGAGGGTCTTCTTGGTCTTGGGGTCAATCTTCTCCTCATAGTGGACATTACGCATCAGACTGTCCATGAAGCTGTCGAAGAGGTGCTTCAGGATGACGGGATCGCTGGCAAGGGACTTCCAGCAGTCTTGGATGTGTCTGTCGGGGCGGGGGAATATATTGCGGTTTTGTTCTAAGAACATTGTACCAGTGAACTTACTGAAACATTTCAGCGAAAGAGTTGAGGATCTTAACTGTGTTGGCAATGCAACCAACTCTCCTGATAATTTGTAACTGACAGGTCTCTAGAAAATTTTCTCAAAGATTCCAGAGTAATTTTTCCGAGAAAATTTGTCATTTCAACATTTCGAAAGAGACCCAGTCTTCAAATCAACAAGACTTTTTCACAGAACTGGGTATGCTTCAAAACACACAATCTCTTTGTTGATCCCTCTCGGCCTGACAAAAATACGGAAGAACAGTTGATGTCTTGGGAGAACAAACTACTGGCTTTACTAATTTCATCAAGGAAAAGTCTTCCTTACACATCATAGGGCAGTGGATATTTCAGCAAGGTGTCAGTGACATTCGATAAGGAGTTAGATGCCAGTGTGCGGACAGCGCGCAGGGTACCAGTGCGAGTCTGCTGATAGGTGATGTTGATTAGCTTGAAGTGGACGGCCGCGATCATCTCATCCACCTACAAGCAAAAAATTAAAATACAAAACCAATTTCCACATACAGTACAAACCAAACAAGGCACTGGTGTACACTGGTGTCTCAAGCTTATGACATGAAGTGCACGGTATTAGTCTTCCAATCTTAGTCTTCCTGCGATCTGAACGTTTGATCGTCAGCTCTGTTCTTTTGGATTGAGTAAACCTTTTTTTGTAATGTCTACACAATACCACAGTTTTTGCTGGAATGGAGCTGTCACAATGAAAGTAGTATTCTCATGAAAAATCACAGCAGAAAAATTGTTAAACCCTCTCGCAATCTGAAACACTGACTGGCAGTAACAACTTAAGGCCAAAGGGTGGATCCAGGGGGGTCAACAGAGGTCATCCCCCCATAAAAAAAGCCAAACAATATTTCAGTTTACCACATGCTGCTGGGTGCTTTGAAAAATGCAGTGCATACATACGGGCGATTTTCAAGAGTTTGAGTTTTCAAAATTCTTCAAAAATTCATCATTTCATTTAATGGACGTTTACACCCACATGAATGACTCTCTGGTTGCAACTCTTATCTGACAGGTGACCTTCACTGACTCCTGAATATTTCAGCCAGGCCTGCCGCCCTGTAAAGAGAGCCCAGAATTGTGAGGTGTTGTGTAATTTCCTTTGTCCCCAGTGAATGCGAGTGGCGTCTTTTCCAACGCGGCTGGATTAGCATGCAGCAGTGCTGTGTCACTCATCAATGGGGCCCTGGAGCACTTTTGTCCGCGGTGCTAATCCGCGGGTGCGCTGTGCCCAAAACAGTGGTACACTGTTTAAAAACAGTGACGGACTACCTTCGAAAAATGCAAGCCAAAAAATGATGGCAATTCCCAGTAGCAGGTCTTTTCTTCCGAGTACAGTCTTTCATTACACCTGTTGTCCCATTTCGGGCACCCCGACTCTGCGTATAAACCCATGGTGCTCAAAACGGGGTTCCCCGGCAGCAAATGGTTAAAAAATAATGACAGAAAGGCAATTTTTTGGGTCGTTTTCATTAACCTCATGTTCCAAGAGCTTGCAGAAAGCCCCAAAAATGTGACCTCATCCTAAGAAAGGCCATAAAAGGTCAAATTAAAAAGTTCAAAAATCTTGAAGTCCCCAAAAAACAACCCCCCCCCAAAAAAAATTTTTTACTAGAGTCGCCCTTGCTTACATCCACCACTAGTTCCGTTCCTCTGGTCTTGAGTATGGTGTTCAGGACGACGCAGGCCCCACTGGAGCAGTGAGACTGGAAGTCAAGGAGGCCCTCTATCAGCAGATAGATGAAAGGTTTGAGGTGGTCTGAGGGAAGTTTCTTGGCGAGGGCCTGGGAGGACGAGAGAAGGGGAGAGAGGGGGGGGTGATTGGTGTTGAGTTGGTGTGGGGGAAAAGCTGGCATTCCGCCAGGATGACGTGGTCTTAAGACACAAGACTTGCACTTCTGTGAACAAGGTTCTAACCCCACCTTGGTTAAAATGATAGATGGATTTATTTCTCAATGAAATTCCCATTCCCAGCAGATTCTTCTGAAACTTGATTCAAATTCTTCAACTCATACAATTTCTCTAATTGTCTCCGATGTCATTTCAAAACTTTCTGTTTCCTTATTTCCTTAAGCTGTAAGCAAACCTGGCTGTTTGAATGAACGCTTAAAAAACAAGTAGATGTTAATAACAATTACAGAATCATAATCAATTGGGGGAATAACCAAACCTCAATCAGAATAAGTCACCTTTAATACGTTTTCTCAGCGAATGTTTGGAAAGAGGCTACACAAAGCACAATGACTCAAGCAAAGGCAAGTATTTTTTTGGGGGGGTCATTTTAAGTGACAACACCATTCTTCCCTTCATCACTTTGTGGCATCTGCTTTGGAGGTCATTTTAAGTGATGACACCTTTCTTCCCTTCATCATTTGGTGACATCTTTTTTAGGGATCATTTTAAGCAACAACATCATTTTTCCCTTCATCACTTCGTGACATCTTTTTCGGGGGTCATTTTAAGTGACAACATCATTCTTCCCTTCATCATTTGGTGACATCTTTTTTAGGGATCATTTTAAGCAACAACATCATTTTTCCCTTCATCACTTCGTGACATCTTTTTCGGGGGTCATTTTAAGTGACAACATCATTCTTCCCTTGACCATTAATTTTGGTGACATCTAGTCAAGAAAGCATTTCTCCAAAACCATGCCTTGAAGTTCCCAGTCGGGCTGACCTTTGACCTACCTTTGAGAGATCATTGACCAGGCTGTAGAGGAGATTGGGGTCGGTGTGCGCCGCCCTCTCTCTCAGTACCGTCAGGGCTTCAACGACAGGATCTTGGAAGGATGACGTCTTACCTAACAAGAAATCCAAAAATCATAACAACCAAAACAATTCCACGGGCAAACTCTTATCTTTCAAAGCCCCAACAGCAAAACATGTTAACACAATCCAACGATTCACTTGTTTCGTAGAGCAGGTGTCGTATGCAACACTTCGGGCAATAGACCACAGCTTTGTTTTCGAGTCCATCACAAGTCCTTTCACAAGTCCCTTCGCAAGGCCAGTCATAAGTAACAGGGTGAACAATGACAAAAGAATGCTTTTGTCAGAGTTCACTTGAATAGCTTGTGAATTGGCTCAAGACTGATGGACTTCCAGGGACTTGTGATGGACTAGAATACAACACTGATAGACCAAAGACACCTAAGCCCCTCCAATGTAAAATGGCCGGTCTTGAAGTACACATCATAGCATGTTCACATACCCAATATTCTCTGACATTTCCCTGTGCAATTATGACTTTCTTAGTCAAAGAAATATTAAGGCAAGGCTTGCTTTCCATCTATCAATCACTCAATCAATCAATCAATCAATCAATCAATTGCCGATCCACACAAAACGAGACGAAAGATCTTCTTTTTTTAAGCCTTAGAAATCAGGGGGTACAGGTACAATTTACAAAAATTTGACAGGGGAAAAAACTTTCTTTACCTTGGTAGAGAAGATCAATGCGAAGGATAATCTGAACGGATTGCACGGCATCTTCTCTGATCGTCAGGTTGGGATCCGAGCAACGGGGTACCAGTCGACCCACCAACATCCCCATGTTAGTGAAGGATCCGTTACCCTGGAAGTTCAAACCAGAGAGTTACCTTTCCTTTAGTAAAACTTTCCATGAGTTTTCTGAACGACACTGGTGGAGGCTTTTGTTACGTGCATCCAATTTGATTGAATTGGGAAGAAACAATCCAACTCACTGCATTCATATCGGTCACGTTTTCCAGGTAGAATTTCAGCAGGGTGAGGTTGGCGGCGACGGATCGCTGTCTCTCATGATCCTGGGTGGAGACTATCCAAGGTTCAAGATGCTGCAAAAACAACAACAGGGTAACAAAAAAGGAACTTGTGCCACATGTACACGGCTAGGATTTACTGTGCTTTCTATGTAAGGATTCCTATATGCTTGTGATGGCCATACTTGAGGGCAACGATGTGGGATTTGTGGACACCAACACCCTTACTTTGCTTGGCGCTCTCTTTCACTAAAGGTTCTTATTTGGGGAAGCAGTGACGCATCCAGGTTTTGAGTCCACGGGCAGTACAAAGAGAACTTTTTTTTCTGGAATTTTTTTCCACAAGTAACACAATTTCCCCAGGGGGGGGTGCCAGTACCAAAGGGGGCCAGGACGCCCCCTGCCCCATCCCCGACCCCCGAACTGGATACACCACACTGTTCTTGCCAACTTCTGCCCGCCTCACAACAAAACATTCAGAGTGCAGACGGGTATCAGCAGTACATTGCATAGGCACGGGGGGGGGGGGGGGCAGGGTAAACAAAACTAAAAGATATGAAAAAAAGAGAGGTGATCAGAGAAAAGAAATCTTGAAATTGACCCCTCTTTACTGACAATGGTTTGTCAGTTCACTGCTGATGAGTGTTCCCCCCCTCCCGGAAAAGTCCTTACCCCCTCCCCCCCTGGATAAAATCGTGGTGATGCCCGTGAGCATATGACCGTCCTGAAAGGAGAAATATTTCTTACAGGTGTGTGTAAACAGAGATTCGCCATTCACCTTGAAGAGGTTGAGAAATCCCTGGGGCGTCAGGTCCTTGCGCAGCACCTCGCAGAGCAGCTCGTGGAGGCTGCGGAAGGACGCCCCGGCCAGCGCCTCGTTCTCCCGCACCTGCTCCTCCTTCACCTCCTCCTTGCCCTTACCCGGGGCCAGGAGACCCTCCGGCAGCTTGAAGAGGCACTCCACGCTCGTCTTGACCAGGTCAAAGGTGTCGGCGTCGTTCAGGTGGGGCTCCAGCTTGCTGAGGGAGGAGAGGGTCGCAGGAAAGTCAAGGAGGAATTGGCCAGTTGAGATCGAGACCCTAGACGTGATCATTTGGAAGTTAATCTGCATAGTGGGTCACACTGCACCTTTGTTACAGCTCTGTACTTCGTGTGAATTAAATCTCTATTTACTGGAAATTACCCATAAAAATCTCACCCATATAAATTCTGTGACTTTGTTTCAAGAACTATTCTATGCACTTCTTAAACTATGGATGCTTTTAAAATGATAACTATTCATCACTCTCGAAAGTCAACATAAATCTGAAAAGCACCGAACAGTTCTACAAAAACTTAATTCCAACCTCATTAATATTTGTTCCATGCACAACTGGGTTAATGTTGCATCGTGACCATTGCGTTTTCCCACAGAAAATGTACATTCCTATATTTTGTAATTTCCGAGAGGCTGAGAAATAAATTCCACACGGAATCGGACGGCACTGAAAATTGAAACTCTGCACGTGAGCACTGTCTACAACGCGTCTCTTCGGGCTGACAGGCCGACAATCGGCCGGGCAGTTAAATCCAAGTTTTCGGACAAGGATACACCAAGGTAGCGCAGGACTGCATAGCCAGGCTCCTGGTCTCGTTCTGAAGCTCCTTGGTGCTCTCGGCCTTCATGTAGCTCAGCATGTGGTTCAGCAGCTCCGTCTTCTTGCTGAAGGAGTAATTGCGCTTCAGGTGGTCGGGGTGGAGGGCCTTGCCGATTAGATCCACGGCACGGATCAGGTTCTGCTTGACAGCCGTGTCCTGTAAAGGACAATTACTAACCAATCATAAGACAATCACAATCAGTTCATAGCAAATCAAAGCCCATTGCATGGCAATCACAAGCTGGTCATAAATAAATCACAAAGCAGTCACGAACCAGACATCAGTCAATCACGTGGCAATCACAAACCAATCATAAGTCTATCACAAGTCAATCACAAACAAATCATAAGTCTATCACAAGTCAATCACAAAGCAATCGTATGTCAATCACAAGGCAATCACAAACAAATTGTACCTAAATACGTAAATCAATCCTAAATCAATTTCAAATCACAAACCCAAGTTAATGCCAAGTCTATCAAAAATCACAAGTTAATGAAAAGTCAAGCTCTGCCTTGTTTAACGTTGCAAAATTCTCAACAATAGCCCTTGGATTTTTGTCCGAGGTTCAATGCGAGCTGGACTAGTCATGCATGCTTGTGTGTCACCTCGTGTCACCGAGGACTTCACTGAGGACTTCCTATTGTGTCTGTATGGTGTGCAAAGGAGGACAGGCTGCAAACAGAGGACCTCTTGTGGCACACCACAGACAAGCACTATCATTCTCTCACTTACCTTGACATGTGCAAAGTGTGGGTTGATGTTGCGCAGGATGTTAGCCTCCACTCGAGACGCTATTATATCACTAGGAGCAAACAGAGTCAGGTAGCCGTAACACAGCATGACAGTGCTCTTGATTCTCTCCACGTCCGCCTCCGATTTATCCTGGAAAGGAGACCACAGACTTAAGTTCACCACAAAAGAAGTTCCAGTTCAATTGATACGCTCTGTCAAACATCAGTTAGTGAAAGTTGTGAGAGCCCCAAAAACGAATGGACACACAACGCTAAAAACGAAAAGAGCCAACAAACTCAACACAGCTACGATGAGGTGTGACCAACAGGTAAGTACTATCGTTACCACATCACACAAAAAATGGACTCCTGACGAGTGGCTACTCCACAGGCCAGAAACATGAACTATAATTCAACAAAATGTTGCCATCTAAAGGCCACCGTAACACTTCATGCAGTTTCTACAGGGTGCTCGAGTTATTGCACATAGCAGTAAACAGCCGTTGCTAATAATCACATCAAATAATATGATACGTTTGGATCAAAACATCGACTACAACTGTGTCACAACTTGTTTCATCACTGTCTCATTCTACAATTAAAAAAAAGGAAAATTAGGCATAAAAAAGTCTGTGGTTTCTGGTCAGGGTTGGCTCCCAAACTGGTGTGGCGATGCAGCTTTTTTTTTCCTTTGTTTTTTTCCCTAGAAATGACGTACACATACATGTTCTTGTACAAACATACCGCCACTACCGACACTGAAATAGACGGACCCCCTCACTATTTACTGTTAAAAAGCATTTTCGGCTTGTAGATGTACACAGGACACAAGACCACCTCATTTGTCTGGTTCCAAGATGTAAATGTACAATACAGAAATGACATTATCTGATAAAAAGTGTCCGACTGAATGTATGGGGGGCCTAGAGAGACTCCTTTACTGCACATATTACTCAACCGCACCAATCAAAAACACATTAAAATTAAGCAGTAGCAGGATCCTAGTCGATTGGCAGCTTTTGGACACTGTACTACACCAAATAACAAACTTTTTTATTTTGCCAATGCACAGGTCTACGGCAACGCGCGCTGACCAGAAACCGGAGACAATTTTTTGGGGGCCTTATTGGTGCTTTGAAGTCAGAGTGAAAAGAGTTCATCCAGGTGTACTACAAACTACAAGGTACCATTTCACACGATGCACAGTGCAGGGAATAATCCATTTGTACAAAATGGCGTGAGCAAACTTTTCACGAGGAGCCGACAGGCACCAAAAGGTCATGCCTATTCTGAGCACGTCACGCATCTGAACACAGCATGCTGATTTCACAGCAACAAAACATCGACACGAGAAGGGTTCGCGGATAAGAACTTACAGAGAACAAGCCCTGGTTCTTTGGGGAAGTGATAAAATGAGACAGACGAGAGAAAGAGTTGAGAAATTAGGAATACCAAAGCAAATGGCCAAAATGATGCCGAAGGCCGAATACTTCTGCCAATGAGGGTCAAATTCACTACTCTACTGGCTTCCTTGTGTCCTATCTAGAAGAAAAAAGCATTTCTCGTTGCTTTCAGGGTTTGAAAATAAGAAAATAGACGTGAAGATGCTCTCTGGAAGGAGCTGACAGGTTAACAAACCTTACACCTACACCGGGCTCAAACTGTTGCAAATTTAGCAGGAGATCGAGAAGACAAGAGGGCGTATTCCTGGAAACCCAAAGACTCACCTTGACCAGTCCAAAGAAACCGGTGGACTTGCGGGCCATGTCCATCTTGGCCACACTCTCCAGTTTAGCCAGTGCGATGTCCAGATGGGAAGAGGCGCAGAATCCCAGGCCGTAGGCACAACCCTGGGGAGGGGAGAAAGATAGAATGAGAAACGGATACAAACAACAGAAATACTCAACCACTACAACAAAGCCTCAATACCAGCCAACCTAACGAATGAGTTATGAGTCACCAGGGCCAGTTTTGAGTTGAGAGCCTTCCCAAGAATCTTGCAGGGTGTAAAGCAACAAGAACTTCAACCACTCACATGAAAACAGTTGTCCGAGATTTTGCTGACCGTGAACGCCGTGAGAGTCGAAGCCAACGGCAAAATGTGAGGGACAGTGACAGCTTAAGAAATAATTCTTCTAGGGTCGTTCAAGTGCGACTATGCTTCATGTGTGCATTGTTAAAAGCAATTGACTATTGGTCAAACAATATACTATATGCCCAAACTTCCAAAATATGGTTCCGAGACTAATTCATTCAAGTGGGATCCACCCACGTTTTAGCTCCTGCAATCCTTCTCCAGATGAGGGATCTGAGGGTTTTTGGGAATAACTAACGACGGTGACAATGACCCATGACGGAGACGACAACGACGCTGATGAGGATGAAGACGACCCTGCCAAAAGACAACGAGGGAGACGGACGGTTGACTGACCTCTCTCTCCAAGTGGTTACTGTGTCGGACCGAGGAGAACATGATGTCCAGATGCTTCTGAACGAACTGCGTGTTCTTGACTTTTCTCATCACCACACCCAGACACTTGTAGAGAAAGTTCTATCCCAAAACAAAAGGAGATGAATGAAGAAGAAAACTAACACAGTCTGACATTCAACGGTCGTGTTCAGACCTTAATATCTCGTATTATAGAGGCAAAACAGAGAGGCGACGCTAACCTTTTCCTCGGGCATGTCTTGGTAGAGCGGTAGGTGATCACCGAGGGCCGTGCCAATTTCACAGTGCCAATCCTCTTCCTCTATGGTATCCAGAGACTTGGACAGCAACTTCAGGGAACAAAAACCAAAAAAAAAAAAAAAAGCCCGCACGTCACAAACTGAAACCACAAGTGTTCCGCGGAGCGGTCACCATGGCGACGCTTGGTCTCTCCGATGTACAGTTTGCCACAGCAATGACATGTAATGCAATGAACCCCATTACTTGTATAAAGGCATGTATGATCACCGCGTATTCTGTATCTACCGCAGGGGCCGAAGGCCGATGGGCCGTTAACTTTGTAGGGGCAGGTGTTACATCTGGGGCACTGACAAGGGGAATTGCTGCCTGCTCTTGACGGCGAGACAGAATCTAACTGGGAGTGCACAACCGTGTCCCCGACAGAAAGATCGTGCCTAAACGTGCAAATCAGAGATTTGGTGAAAATGGAAGCCGCATCATCTCCGAGTGTATAAAAATGTTTGAGAAGAACATTACGTACCGGGATGTTTCGAGGGTGGTATGCGAGAACGAGGGGGACGCGATCATGTTGCTTGGCCCCGATGTAAAAATGTAATAATTCTGTGATGGGCTTGACAAACAAATGACAAAATCCCTCACCAATTTGCTTGGGAAAAACAAACATTATTTTGTATCTTGTAATGTCACTAAAAGACATACTTTTAACAGCAAATCTTCCCACGATTTCTGGGACCACTTGTTTTCGTCGTCGAGATTTTCTGTGCCAAAAGAACAGAATTGGAAAACTAGGCAGTTGAATAATATCCAAATACGGAATAAATGTTTACTTAAACTACACATTGTTTGCAGCCCCCCAAAAATGAAAAATTAACTAATTTCATTTCAATGTAAAGATGAGAAAAAATTCATGACATAATAAGATCCCAAAATTAAAACTTGCTTGACCCTAAGCAAGCTGGATTCGAACCTTTCACCTGAGAACCACAAGTCAAGTGGTCTCACCTCAAACCAATCTTCTAAGTATGGAGTTGAGTTAATGGATGACAGTATCACCAACCACCACCACGTATTCAATAAAGCTTGGCCCGTGACAAACAGGGTTCGAACCCCTATTACAGAAACGCAAGTACAAGTGCTCTCTTCCTCCCACCCACCTTCTAGGTATTGGATGAGTTTTGGGATGACGGCATCCCACATGTCCACCAGCGCGTCATGGATGTTGGGCGACATCGCTAACATCAGCTTCAGCACGTGGATTCCCCGTTTACGCCCGTTACCCGGTCGTCCTGCCATGACCTGCAGAGACACAAAAAGTCCAACCCATGCGAGTTTAATCAAACTCGATTTAACAGAAATAAAAACCTACCTCTTTATTTATAGGTTGTATAAAGTTTCACCGTTTTCCCTGCTTTTGGCTTTTTACAAATTTAGTTATTGTTTTGTATTCAATTTTTGGCCACAGGTGACAGACCATCTCAACATCTCCTTCCTGACTGATGGAAAGTTTTGGCACTTTGCCAGAAATTTTGTTTACTTACACGCCAAAAAGTCTTTTCCATATTGAATGTGTAAAATATATATTTGTGTAAAGTACGAATCAGGTTTTTGAGGCTGTGTGGGTTTAAGACGCATTCCACGTGGATCCAGGAGTAAATACAAGCTTGTTGGTCAGGGGTAACAATACACTATGCTGACCAGTTCTAGGGCTGTGCCGAGTATTACCGAATATTTGATCGATTGTTGAATATTCCAAAATTATTTTTCGAATTTGAATATTCGAATGCAAAAGTCATGAAAGGATGGGAAAATTTTCTTTTGCTTTAAATGAGAAAATTGCACTATTGAGGCTTGTTTCAAGCAGATTCAAATGAAAAGCATCAGAAATCTTACAACAATTTAAAAAGTAAATTATTCATTAAACAATTTAAAAGAATAGAAATTTTCAATAGGGCAAGAAGTCTTGTTCATCTATTCAATCTTCCTAAATTGTGGCTGGAGATACTCCTAGATGTGAGAAGCTATTATATTGGTCATAATGTACAATTGTGTGTGTTATTGCAACTGATTTTGTATATGGCTTGTCCATCAACAATCTGGCGGACGGTACCACCGAATATTCGGATATTCGATCAAATTGAAGGTCGAATATTCGAATAGTGAATTATTGGAATGGACTCAGCCTTAACCAGTTCCCAATTAAATGCACTACAGGAGTGCAGATGCCATTTGTGTTATAAAACTGCTCACCATTAGCCTGGCCATGAGAATGTTCGGTTTGGGCAGGCTGCTCAGCTCCTCGTAGAGAAGGCGGTAGTCGTCTGCCTCCTCATCACGCTTCTTGGCGCCGATGAATGCTAGGCTCTGGCATAGGGTTCCCATGGCGTCGGTGTGCTGCGGCTGAACGATGAACTCCAGCAGGAAGGGCCACAGGACCTGAGCGACAAAGATGTTTGTTTGGTCCGACTTGGACTGTTTTTACTTGAGGCTTTGAAAAGAGGTCCGCTTTAACGTTTTATCAGATCAACCACCGATCAATGTTGCTTGGAAAGTGGTAACCAGGCTATAGTTTGCAGACAGATGGCTGAGGAAATTTGACCGGTGGTCACCAAAAGGTGATCACTCGGACTTGCCCTAAAATTGTCAAGTCAGGGTGCTTTATGGCAGATTTTTACTTCATTCAAACTTTTACAAAATACAACATAAAAGTTTTTGTTCGTGTATATACTGCCCTCTAGTGATGAGAACATTAATTAACTGTAAAGTGAAGGTAATCAGGTGCCAATTAACACATTTTCTGCACATTCTGTTGACACTGGTTCCATAAAATGAGACCAGTTTAGATCCTCAGAGTGGCTCAAAGCAAGCGGCAACTTATAGCATATTTACCAGTAATAAAACCGTTGACAAAAAAAGCACTGAATTTGGTTTACTACCCAAAACCCTGACAGTACTGACTTCTCCGAAAGGCTGGGGAAATGCCATGGTCAGCAATGTGCAGACAGAATTTTTGACTTACAGATTCCATGTCAACGACGGTGGTTGTGATGAGATTCATGACGTTGTCGCACATGCCGCGCAGGGCGGCATTGGTGACCTGGTCCGGATCGGCCTTCTCCTTCTTGCTCTGCAGGGTCAGAGAGACGACAGAAGACAGACACACAGTTGTGCATTGTTACAGATACAGGAAACAAAGTCTCGTGAGATCTGCCGTACAAATCAGCTATTCCGCTCAATTTGCAGATTTTGTGCGTAGTAACTGACTTTACGGAACTGAGCACTGTTCCGCTAACTTTGCAGTTTTGTGCGTAGTAACTGACTTCACGGAACTGAGCACTGTTCCACTCAATTTGCAGATTTTATGCGTAGTAAATGACTTTACTGGAACTGAGCACTGCTTCATCGAGACTCTTTGGTCTACATGAAGTGGACACCTATAAGTTCCCCCTCTCATCAATAATTCATACCCATTGCCTTCACATGCATTGAACCCTCCCACATCTTAAAAACCAGAACCTGAGACTTTGGTCCTGAATCCACAATGCTGCTCATACCGTCTGCTGGATGTCGTTGAGCTGGAGGGCGCACTGCTTGACGACAAACTCAATCATGAAGTTTCCGCCCTCCAATTCAAGGTAACCGTGGTGGGCCATGGCGATGACAACTTGAGCAAATATCTTCTTTACCTGTTGACACAAAATGTTTTATAAAATCCACAGGCATAACACTGGGACGTTGGCAAAAACAGAGGACACGTTTCAATCACGGTTCTCGAGGAAATCTGAAAACCAAATTTCGTGACTTTTCCTGGACTTTCCAGGACGAAACTGTAATAATTTCCATGACATTAAATGCCAGATTGCAACTACCATGGACTTATGAGGACACTTATCATTATTCCGTAATCACATCCAAAGGAGGCCACCCAAAGAAACCCTCCATAATCCCGATCTCCATAACTTTTCCTATGACAACAGCAGTCGAGACACCCCCTGTTTTCGCAATTTTTTCCACGACTGTCCAAGACAATTTTTCCCCAAAAGTTTTCAAGATTTTCAATGACCGTGGGAACCCAGTCAATGCACAGAAGTTTGTATAGAAATATTTGCTCAATTTGTAATGGCATACACAGGATTCTGACCAAGACGAAGCTGTTCCAAGGAAAACTTCCGTACCTAAAATCTAAATCATTTTAATATTACATATTATTGGATAAAACTAATAGATAATCATCTTTTTAACGACAACCCTCAGCATTTTTAGAGTAAGCCTTATTGCTCATACCGCATGAGTGATTTCGCACAATGGTAGAAAGGCATTGTGGGAAGGAAAAAGGAGCAAACACTGCCCTCTTTTTCCTTCCCACAATGCCTTTCTTCCATTGTGCAACATCACCCATGCTGTATTAGCAATAAGGATTTACTGTTCCTTCATAAAAAGTTTTGGAATGTTCACACACCTTGTTGCTCTGATCGGCCAACACTATTTTCAGCCCGGACAGCACGAGAGATTTTTTGTTTTCCATGTGAGGCCCTGCAAAGGAAAATAAAAAATTGACCATTATTAGAAGCAAAAGATAACAAACATCCTAACAGATTCAAGCTTTCATCACTTGCTTATGTGTAATATTGCCTAGCTCTAAAATATCGGCTCATTTCTCCTGACGTGAAAAATATTTCATGATAATAAAAATGTCGGGGCATTTATAAGATGTCCAGTATCTTGCCATTTAACGGTAACAATGTATTATCATTATCCAAGCTCGCAATATCTGAACATTCCATAGACCATCTCAGCTCCCTGGGGAGTATAAAAGGCCAAGGTTGCCATGTCAGACACAAAC